TGATGAAAATATAGGGAGTTTATTACCTCCCACAATGCAACACTTACAAATATTTTTGTCAAGCGTATTTGATCTCTTACCCAGACTGATCTTTGGTGCCCAACTTTAGCTCCTTTGTAGACTGAGTTTTGCCGATTTGCTTTGCGGAGCATTATAGAAGCTTCGCACTCTGCCTGATGCATGCTCAACAGTTGAATATATTTCAACAAACTTGGTTATCTCAATTGATCACAATTACCCTTTAACTAGGAATTATAGGTATTTCAATATGACTCAACCAAGAGTTTAAATAATATATATACAAATGCTCATTGTTAGTAAGCCATAGAAATAATGTTGTCCACATGCTACATCAAGTTGAACAACATAATCACAAATTTCACATCATATTCTTATAAGAAATTAATCTCATACAAAAGGAATATGTTTGAGTTCATATTTATTCAGAATATCTTTCAACAATGAGACATCACAGTTGCCACTAGCACAATTTTTCCTTCCCTTAAGGAATTTAAAACTCATATAAAGCATTCATTCAGATCAATATTACTATTGCAGTACTTCAACAACTTCTATTGCAAGGCTTTGATTGTAGTAGCAACATATGAAAGTCAACCTCATTTCAGGTAAAGATCAAGTGGCGCTCTAACTAGCCTGCATGATCAACACCCTACTTCTTAAAACTCCCAGGTCGAGTGGTGAAACCGAAGTTTGCTTAAAAACCATCTTCCTAGACAGAGTGTTCAAGAATGATGACTTTCCCATGTTCTCACTAAATTACAATTGAAGCCTATGATATATGCTCTTATTTTTATATAAATAATTTTAGTAAAAAGTTTGAGCAATATCTATGCACGAATTATTTCAATCAATGTCATTAGTATTCAAAATACTAAAGAAATAAGTACTACTAAGTAATCAAAATCTAGACAGCTCAACTAGAATTCAGTACTAAGATAACCATACTTCATGCGAACCCTTAGAACTAGAGCAAACATAGTTACTCAAAATAACTATTTATTTAAAGAGACTCAATACTCATCTTGCTCTGTCAGATTGACTTTTGCTAGTTTTGCCCTTGTGATGGTAGCACTGGTGTGCTCGGTGTCCTTGCTTTCTGCACGCAAAACACCTTCCTTTAAGCTTCTTGATTTTTCTACTCCTTTCATTGTAGACGGTTCTGACACTTTGATTTTCAGTTCTATAGGCACCGTACTTTTCTGACAGTGATTCCCAAATGACTTTTGCCGAATCTTGTTTGACATAGATGTCGAACAAATCGTCATTCATTTGTGACAGCAGGTACCCTCTGGCTGCCGCATTGTCATTTCTAAATTGAATCAGAGTTACACCCGGTTCTTGACCCGGAATGTAATCTATTTCAGGACTGCTTTCTCTCGATTCTTCACCCGGAGTGTAATCAGGTTCATGATTACATTTTGTAGCACCAAACGGAGAGAACACTGATGGAGTAGGTTCAGGTGCAACTGAATATAGCACGTAAGCCAACTTTAATTGCTCAAAAAGAATAAGCATTCTTTGAGCCCACCTACTGTAATTTTTCCCATCAAGGGCGGTGATTTTTGATAGATCCGGTATGACAGTAGGTGCCATAATGCTGAAGGTTGACTATTGCAGAATAACGCTTTTAATTGTTGGGGAAAATAGCAACGTCAACGCACGATCTGGAAGCCTTTTAAGAAGCACGGACACTATTGGTGTATGGTTGAAAGGAAATCTGTGCCGTGTTATAATAACACTACCTTAAAAGCGTTATTTGCCCGGTAACGGTGCAGTTAGAATCCTGGCACGCTTTCGACAGGCTATACAAACCTATTACGGATAGCTTGCACTAGCAATCACGTAGGCGAACCTCACTATTGCTCAGAATCAAGGAGAAAGGTGGAGAATAGAATAGATGAATTGAAGGTGTGTTTTTAATGAACAAAGGAAGTATGCTATATATAGTAATATAGGCTTCACTCCTTATCCACTAATGTCCAAAAAATAAGCTGCACGCCTCATTCTCAACAAAATGAGATTCACTCATTTTGGGAAAAAAGGCAGCCACATAAAATGGAAGCTTGGACAAAGTATGATGTGGACCAACAGTTAAGAATTTTTCCAACACCTTCCGTCATACGGATTGTGTATAGACGCTTCTTTAGGCGTAGCGTGTTCGCCAGAGTTTTGGCCATGTAAAGCGCATCCATCTTGGACCATAAATCTGACGCAGTCGTCTCACTTACTACCTCACGTAGAACTTCTTTAGACAGACACAAAAGAATGGTTGAACGTGCCTTGTCATCCAAATCTTCCCAAGTTTCATCTGTCATTGCAGCCGGTTTCTTCTTCTTCCCAGCTAGCGCTTTCTTCAAACCGTTCTGGGTTAGAACGACTTCCATCTGAACCTTCCAGATAGAAAAGCTAATTTTCCCGTCGAACTTCTCGATATCGAACTTGGTAACAGTCGACATCTTTGAAAATAACTCTCACTTAAACCGCTCTGATACCACTTTTTAGGAATATAGCAGAATAATGCGGAAGCGAAGAATCAAAAATTGAAAATTATAGAAGTTAAATAATAGGAAAATAATATAAATGACAGAATAAGGCAATAGCTAATTTGGGAGATTATAAAATATATATATTACTCTCTAAATAGAGAATACAACGTAAATATATATATATATATATATATATATATATATATATATATATATATATATATATATATATATATATATATATATGTTTACGTGGGGAAATAAAAGAAAGAAAAGAAAGCAAGATGAATTGCTTAGGAATGAATTACAATTAATGAATTGATGCATTGAAAACAATGAACCTAAACCTATTTATAATTACAAAGAAGAGAAATGTACGACAATTACAAGAATGAGAGCCAAAGTAGGAAATCATGTAGCAATGTTAGCACGCAAACGACGCCAACATTGGAGACATGGTCTATGTTTAATTTGAGCCACATATTATGTCTAACAACAACAACAACAACAACAACAACAACAATAATAATAATAATAATAATAATAATAATAATAATAATAATAATAACAACAACAACAACAACAACAACAACAACAATACTAATAATAATAATTGTTTTTAAAAAATAAAAAAATATAATTAAGCTAATTATATTAACTACTTGGGGATTTATTGACAAAAAGAGTATTCAAATCACACAACAAATTGAAGTGGGAAACTAACTCGCAATGTCCTTGTTTGTCAATCAACAATTAGCTCTTCAATATTAGTATATTTAATATTTTATACCATAATTTTTATTTGCTCTCCCTTATGTCCCGTATTTGGTTTCAACCATACCTATACAATTATTTTATTGACAATTATAATCAATCTTTAGTATATTATATTGCATTTGTAAACTTAGAATTACCTATTTAAAGACGCAAATTCAGCATTCAATTATCTATGCATGAACAATTTCAATATAATCTTGTCTTGATATACTTTAAAGTACTTATTTAAAAAGAAAACTTTGGGCATTATCCCAATCGCGCAATGCGCGTACAAAACTAGTATTTATATATTTCTCTACGGTTTTGAAAACCCTATTTAAATAATATATTTATCTTCCAAAATCTTAACCGAAAATGTCAATCTGAGTGGAACTTGAGAAGAACTTGTGAAACTGATTCAAGTGTTTTAACCTAGGAATATTCTTAGAAACGAATTTATTTTATTCCTAAAAATTTAGAAACCTATTTTTATCCTAACTTGACCCAACTTTTGATCCAAAATTATAACATGAGATTTTAATCGCAAAATGACCAAATTAGCCCTCACTTGGCTGAAATTTCCATCAGCCTTTCCCTAGGGCTGTGCCCTACTATTTAAGCATCCTTCACTAGTACAAACTTGACAAAAAATATTAGACTATTAGCATCTGTTGTTTGAAAGTTAGAGACTAAAACTCGCGCGGTGGCATTTTTGTAATATTATGAACAACAATTAGCATCTGTTGTTTAAAATAACAGGATGGAAAATCACCGCCAATTTTTTTAAAAAAAATTCGTAGACAACAGACTACTGTTCTAATCAGAACAGTAGCCTGTGGTCTATATAATAAAATATAATAATAAAAAAAATATTTCGCTTATCACCGCCGATATTTAGCTAAAGCGTACATAGTAAGCCTCTTTCTTGATAACTCCTTAGCCCTTCTTCACCAACCACCGCCGATACTCTCCATCTCCAACATTTTGTACGTAGCAGCCACCGCCCGCGACCTCCATCTCCATTATTTTGCTGACCACCGCCGACTTTAGCCATGGGTTGAGAGGAAAGGTTCGCCAGCGACATCTAATAGCGACTTCAGCCATAGATTGAGAAGGCAACTTTGGCGGCGAGCTCCAACAGCTAAGTGACAACGAAGGTTCAGAGGCGACTTCCAGCTGCGCTGCGTCGACCTCCACCTGCGACCTTCAACTGCGCGCTTCAGGTACATACTGCGCGACTTCATCTTTATTATTATTATTATTATTATTATTATTATTATTATTATTATTTGATATAATGTGTGCTTTATTATTATTATTATTACTATTATTATTATTGTTATTATTATTATTATTATTATTATTATTATTATTATTATTATTATTATTATTATTATTATTATTATTATTATTATTATGTGATATAAATTGTGCCTTATTATGTAGTCTGATCTACCTATTTCATTTTTTTTTAGGTAAATGTAAATTGATTAAAAACCAAATAGAAATGAAAAGTATTGATTAAAGCATTATAGATTTTAAATTGGAATAAAACTAATGCAAAGGAATAAAATAAAGTTTCAAATATGTAATTCCATACGGGACAAACTGACCAAATGCTTAATTATAGATTCTCAATTATATTATGTAGACTAAATGCCTTATCCATCTTCATTTGTCTATATCTTATATGATATGTATTTCGGTTAAAGTTTCATAATCTTGCAGACGAGAGATATGGATCATAGTTGGATGTATGGGAAATGCAATACACATGAATACATGCTAGGGGTTGAAAATTTTATAAAATATGCTGAAGAAAATAAAAGCAAAAATGGTGAAGAATTTCTTGTTTGCCCATGTTATGATTGTAAGAATCTTAGGAAATTTCGTAGTTCTGAGCAAGTGAGGAATCATTTAATATGTCGTGGCTTTAAGGAAGATTACAACAGGTGGATACGGCATGGTGAAAGTGTAATTCCTAGTAATAGAATAGACAATGATCAAGAGAACGATGATGATAATGATGAAAAGAATGTAGACAATGAGGAAAATGAAGAGAATGATCGAATAGATGAACTCATGCGTGATATTCAAGGAGATGATAGTGAAATGCCTCCTATATTTGAAAGTTTTTCTATTGATTCAGAAAAATCTTTGTACCCTGGGTGTAGTAAATTTACAAAGCTATTTGCTGTGCTAAAATTATATAACTTAAAAGCAATGAATCGGTGGAGTGATAAGAACTTTACACAATTATTAGACCTTTTAAAAGACATGTTTCCTAATGATAATGAGCTTCCTATTTCAACTTATGAGGCAAAGAAAATGTTGTGCGCACTGGGCATGGAGGTCAAGAAGATACATGCATGTCCAAATGATTGTGTATTGTATTAGAAGGAATACAGTAACTTGCATGTATGTCCAAAGTGTGGAGCATCACGTTATAAGAGAAAAAATGTTGCTTATCGGTGTGAGGATAATAAAAGCCCTCCAGCGAAGGTGTTATGGTATTTACCTGTGATACCAAGATTCAAACGCTTATTTGCAAATAAAAATGATGCAAAGAATTTGCAGTGGCATGCTAAAGGGAGGAAGGAAGATGGAAAATTAAGACACCCAGCCGATTCTCCTCAGTGGAGGTACATTAATAGAATGTTTCCTGAATTTGGCAATGAAAATAGGAATCTTAGGCTTGGGTTATGCACTGATGGAATGAACCCCCATGGAAACATGAGTAGTCAACATAGTACTTGGCCGGTTCTTTTGGTAGCTTACAATCTTCCTCGGTTGTGTATGAAACACAACTACATCATGTTGTCATTGCTTATTTCAGGGCCTAAACAACCAGGGAATGACATAGACGTGTACTTATCACCACTTGTGGAAGATTTGAAAATGTTGTGGGAAGAAAGCGTAATGGTATTTGATGCATATAGTCAAACCAACTTCACTTTGCGAGCCATGTTATTTTGTACAATAAATGATTTTCCAGAATATGCCCTATTTGTGAAGATGAAACAAGTGATCTTTGGTTGAGTAATAGTAGAAAGAATGTATTCATGAGTCATCGGGCCTTCCTCCCTATTGGTCATCCTTATCGAAAGAGGAAAAAGTGTTTCAACGGTAAAGCTGAGACTTGTGTGGCCCGCTTTCCATTATCAGGGCATGCAGTTTATGAACGAGTCAAAAATGTTAAAGTTGATTTGGGCAAAACCTCTAAAACTGTTGAAAAGGGTCTTTGGAAAAAAAGGTCAATTTTTTGGGACCTACCATATTGGGAGAATTTATCTGTACGTCATTGTCTTGATGTAATGCCATGTGGAAAAAAAAGTGTGTGACAGTACTCTTGGGACGTTATTGAATATCCAGTGTAAAACTAAAGATGGCATTAAAGCTAGAAAAGATATGGTAGAAATGGGAATACGATATAAGTTAGCACCGCAAGAATCAGGAAAGCGGTCATACTTACCTCCAGCTTGTTATACCATGTCTAAAAAAGAGAAAACAAGGTTTTGTTGATGTTTGAATGATGTGAAGGTTCCTTCAGGTTACTCATCCAATATTAAGAAACTTGTGACCGGAATATAGAACTCAAGCCTGCGGTGAATATGTAAGTAAAAGTATATTTATATAGAAATTTATTTATATAATGTGTTATAATTTATAAATTTTGTTTATTACAGTAATGATAGGGCATTGCGATCATATATGAATCAACAAGGACAAAGAGCAAAAAATCTTTTCAACTTTAAGCATGTAAACGTAAAATACAATAATGTTTACATATTAATTTGTTTTTAATTAATTGTTAGCTAGATTACAAATAATATTTACTATATTTTCATTTGTTTTTCTAGTGTCCTCAACAACCAGGTGATTCTGAGTGTGGATATTACGTTATGAAGTATATGCATGAACTATGCACAAAATATTCCACATTCACTTCTTTGGATGAGGTACATATAAAGTGATATAAAATAAGAATTTGGTAATAATTGAATTAATTATAATTGATTACTAATATAATAAATAATTCATTTGTAGGTTTTTCAAGACACTTTGGCATATTCCATGGAAGAAATTGATGAGATTCGTGAAATGTGGGCCAAGTATTTTTATAATGAATGTGTATAAGTGTGTGTATCGTGATGGCGTACTTAGGTATTAATGGTTGGATTATATTGTTTATTATATGTATTAGTTTGGATTATATATTATGGATTATTGTAGTTTAGTTTGGATTGTAGTGTGGATTAATATTTTGAATTGTGATGTAGTTTGGGTTATATTTTGAATTGTGAAATATAATCATATTAATGAATATTGTGTTGACAATGTATATTATGGAGGATTGATTGTACTGAAGCAGGCTTGAACCAAAAAAAAAAAAAAACATTTAAAAGCAATACGCGTCTACGAAAATTTGCAAAATCTGGTAGGATAAGGCGTCAGTTGTTCGCAAAGAACAAACGCCTATAGTCGAGAACGCAACTGTGAACAACAGACGCCTAAAGTCATAACTATCAGCGTCTTGTTCATAAACACCTGTTGTAAAAGTGACGCCAATAGCTCCAAACTATAGACGCGAATCGCCTGTTTTGTACTAGTGCTTAGTGTAGCAATGCTATTCATTCTCTCTTCACTTCAGTAGCCAACACCTTCAAGTCTCTCTCTCTCTCGTGTATCTCCCCTCCATCATCATCATCATCATCTTCTTCATTCCTTCAACAGAGATCAAGCTAGCCTAGAGATCCCAATATTTCAGTAAGCTTTTCTTCTTCTCTTCTTTTTTTCTCCTCCATCCTTCCTTCATTTTCCTGAGCTATGAATGTGTTTGTGTATGTATGTTATTGTTGGTGGTTTTGGAGGTCTAGAGGGTGAAGAAGGAGACCTAGCTTGAGGTCAAGGAAGTGAAGCTCTTAAGGTTAAAGCTAAGAAGTTTGAGGTATAAACCATGGACTCCCAAAACCTATTATTTTAGTCGTGTTATTGTTGATGATGTTTGATGTGTTGTTGGTGTTTTGATGCTTAGAAATAATGAAGAATGGATGTTTATGTGTTTATTATGTGTTGGTATTGTTGTCTTGTTGTTCCTTGTTGTTTGGGGAAGTGTTGAAGGTGTATTGTGATCTAGAAGTGGAATTTTGCTCACTTGATATGGAAATTTGGTAGATATTGTGAGGATGCATCTAGAAGCTCAAACGATATGATCTATTGGGCGATCTACTAACAGATTGCATGTGATTTCTATAAGTCGTATTTCTGATGCGAGAGGAAGTAGATTCTCTTGCGTATGCCAGATCGGGGAGTTCGAAGCAAGTTCGAGCAGATTAATCAGCCAGAACTGGTAATCCGAATGAAATCTCATAGGATTATCGGCCTATTGTGCGAATTTCAGCATTGGAATGGGCGAATTTGGTGGAGATAGATGAGAGGTTGAAATGGAAAGCTTACTAGTTAGGGCGCTCTGGCTCTTGACAATAACTGATCTTTTAGCGGCGGTAGAGGTGGTGAGGCCGAGACTTTTTGAGATTAG